ACACACACACACACACACACACACACACACACACACACACACACACACACACACACAACACACACACACACACACACAACACCCTCCTCCCACCACACACACCCCAACAGGTGACGCTGCTCGAGGCGCGGGGGCGGCCGTTTGCAATTCTGGTGGCGACAACGCCGGCACTGCTGCTCGAGTTCATCAAGAACCGCATGCGCACACGCGCGGGAGACAGAGAGCGCAGTGCAGCGCGAAGAGCACAGGCAGCACACGGCCACGACGACGATGATGATGGGGGTGATGGGGGTGGTGAAGAAGGTGGTGAAGAAGATGATGGCAGGGAAGCTGATGGTGATGATGATGATGGTGGTGATGATGAGAGGAATGATGAGGAGAGGAATGATGGGGAGGGTGAAAGGGATGGCGACAACAGCGATGACGATGATGAAGGGGATCAACATGAAGCGGTCGAGAGGGAAGCACCCGAGGCGACCCAGTCACGCAGCATTTGAGCCGTCTCGCATGTCTTGATTTGCTTCGTTATTGCCCGCACTCTTCCGCATTAGTTATTACATTTCTTGCTTGCTTGCGCTGACCGTGTTGCAAGTCTGTTCGTTGTTAGTGGATGAGTGGATGAGTGTGAGTAAACCCAGACAGACACCTTCTTGTCTTTCACGAGCTTTGTTGTTGATCACGCACACATACAGAGAGAGAGAGTGTGTGTGTGTGTGAGAGAGACATACAGAGACACACACACACAGACACACACACACAGGCACACACACACTCACACACACACTCACACTCACACACACACACACACACACACACACACACACAGACACACACACACACACACACACACAAGCCACGCCATGGCGGGAAATTTTCAAATCCCGTCAGCATTCGCCCGAAACAATGCCCTTAAATATACATCGTATCAGTCACAATTGCACCTCTGCTGGCCTTGATTCGATGCACTTTTTGTGAAATCCGAGGCAACAAAGCCTGTCGCCCAGAAACAAAACATCCCACAAACACCACCAACAACAGAAGTAACATAACGACACGAGCACCAAACACACCAAGCCATCCAACCATTCACGACCACTTCACCCACCATCATCATCATCATCATCACCATCATCATCATCAGCACTATCACTCGCACGCACGATCATCTCCTCGAGCAGGTGCGTCGGCGTGTGTAGATGAAATACCCACCATCGCCTCAGCACCTCTGGTCACCACGAGCCCCACCCGCCTAGCTGCGCTGGCCGCCTGTGTTTCGTTTTCGGTTGCATGGTGTATCTTTCATGATGCATGCACGCGTCGACGCATGATCACTGTTGTTGCATGCACGCGCACGTCAACAGTTATTGTTAGCTAGTAAGCGTTGCACCCTTCTTTCCCCAACCATCATTGTTCTGCGTTTCCTCGCCCTCCGCCCCTCCCCCCCCCCCTCACCCGCTACTTCTCGATGCATGGCTCACTCGCTTTGCTCGTTGCTGTACTTGTCCCTGCACTTGTCGCTGCATGCCAACCGAATGAACACGGCCTAACCAGCGCGCACACACGCACGCACACACACATGCACACGCATGCGCCCGTTTTTTCATCTGTCTCTGTGCGCGGGCCTCAACAGTTTACACGCCTATCCTTTCACCAAGACAACCAATCTGCACACGACCCAGCGGGGTAGGCCAACACATCTCTACAGAGCGAGCCCTTGCCGCCCGAACGAACATCTCAGCTCAGGCCCAAGAAGACAAATCATCACGTCCCTGGCGGCTCTACTTGAGCACGTCAGGAGCTAAATTACAACCAAGGCCGCGGCTGTGGTCGTAGCCATAGGGGCACTGGCGTCATCGACCAAGCAACGCCGAGACAACAGCAGCAACGCTAATACATCAATAACACCAAGCCCAATACCGACCACACCACACACGAACGCACACACAGACACACACACATACACACACACACACATACACACACGCACACGCACACACAATGGGCGGTTACCGCGTCCCTTGCGCTTCGTCAGCAACAGTGCTGCTGGCAGCGATGGTGCTGGTCATCGTGAGCGTGTGTCCATCTCCGTTATCGGTTGTTGTGATGGCAATGCCAACGCGAGAGCCGAACGCGTGCGAATCTCCAGACGCCACCCTCGCCACCTTTGATGTCGTGAACGTTGATGGCACGCACGTCCAAGTCGAAATTCAACCCACAGACGACAGCAACAGGTTGGTATGTGTACGTTGCCGTGTGATGTTGTGTGATGTTGTGATGCTGTTGTTTTGTTTGCTTTGTTTGCGTTGCTTGCGTCCAAGTGCTCACGCCTGCCGCCGTTTACCACGCACCCCACATGCTCCACACCATCAATTACCACCAATTACCATCAGCGTGATCAATGAGCCGCTGCTGCTGTCGCTGCATGAGCGCGGTCCGTTTGCGCGCGCGGGTTCGTATCGTCCGCCCGTCAACGTCCACGGCAAAGACATGACGCACCTCATATCCGATGCTCGCTGGCTCGCGGGCACAGCCGGTGCGTAGTGTACTGTGTGATTGTGTGTGTGTGTGTGTGTGTGTGTGTGTGTGTGTGTGTGTGTGTGTGTGTGTGTGTGTGTGTGTGTGTATGTGTGTGTTTGTGTGTGTGTGTGTGTGTATACATGTATATCATGTATCCCCTCCGCTTTTCCCTCCGAACTTACCCACAACATCACCCCCCTTTTATCACCTCCTCTCTCATTTCCCCTCCTCTCCATCATCACCACTTAGGTGGCGTGGACGGCTCTATTGTGCGTGTGTCCGTGCACCGGTTTGGACTGCAGGGGTTTGCACGCCTCTCGTCCGGACACACGCTCGTGTTCGAGCCGCCAACGCACCCCGACTACGCACCATCACCACCACCATCACCATCTCCATCGTCTTCATCTTCACCATCATCGCCGCGGTTTGTGTGTGTCTCCGACACAATCACGGACACGAGCGGACGGCTGACAAAGGGCGACACCGACACCGCGCCGCCACACGCCCGCCCATTCCAGGCAGAGTTGCAACACCGCAGGCAACAGCAACACCAACAACGGCAGCAGGAGAGTGACATGCGTGCTGGTGGTGATGGTGGCACTCGTGCTGGTGATCGCGTGCGCCGTGAAGGCCCCATCAACAGCAACTACTACGTCTGCACGCTGTATGTGGACATTGATTCCTATTTCTACGACCAGTGGAAAGGGCCGTGCAGCAGCGGTGGCGCTGAGAGCGATGACACATGTCGATCGGAACTGCACACGCGTGCGCTCGTTCGCGCAATTGATATCATTCATCAGGCATCAGCCGTCTTTGAAGACAACTTCAACCACTCTGTCATCAACTACCAGGTGCGCTGTGTGCGTGCATGTGTGCGCGCGCGCGCGCGCGCGGGGCGGTGTGTTTGTTTTTGTGCTTCATATTAGTAGATCGACACTCCGACGATCTGTCTTTTGTGTGGGGCATAAATGTTTGAAAAAACAGAAGTGC